TGTACAAGGAGAAACTTGAAAATGACCGTATTAATAGGTCGAAATATCGAATTATAATTTTAATGTTTTAGTTTTAATTGTTTAATTTTTATTTTTATTATTTATTAAAACTTTTTTTTCTTAACATGATAGCCGCATTGATTTTAAAATTTTTATGATTTTTAAGAAAATTAGTAGAAAAGTAAAACAAACAAGTGTTCACATTCAACAAAAAAGTTTGTTGGTATTGAAATCATCGAACATAACAGATACAACTTCGATATCGATGTGAGCAACTTTTTCCATCATTCAACATATTATTGTTGAACTGCTTTGGCCGAACTTCGACTATTCCTCCGTTATGTGGACAGTAGTGGCGACGGTGGAGCCTAATCTAGCTCCGATGAAATATCGTCTGGTATAGTATCATCTAAAGTTTGTTCATTAGCTTGTACCTCAGCTCGGAAAGCCTTTGTGTTTGCTTCGAAATCTGTGCTTCCTAGAGGAAACGGTGCAGAATAATAAGGTCGAATAACCCTGTAGGCTCCAAAAAACCGATAGATACGCCATAAATTTGTCCCCATCAATGTAAAAAAATACGCTCGAGCACGTGGCTTTTGTTTTGTACACATATAATAAGATACAACAGGGACCCAAATGGGAGCAAACAAAGTAATTAATAATAGTGCTTCAATGATAACTAATGCCGTTGCAAGTTTGCTACGTTCATGTGAAGGGAGAGATTGTAAATATTCGATGTACAATGGATGAATTTTATAATGTTTCGCGCCATTACGTAGGAGTCCAATATAACGAACGCTTGGCAATGTATGGTGATTTACAATACCTGGACTGATTTGACGAACTACTAATGCATAAGCTTCAATTATACGACCATCGTAAGCATATACATTTACTTTATGTGGAATATATCCATTGGCATCTACTCCACTACCTCTTTCAGTTGCCATTAAATGTTTGAAGTCTTTTTCCGTCATTTTATGTAGTACTCCATGAATTTCGGAATGCGGGTTTTCTTTAATATTTCCAAAGCATGGCTCAACCGCTGGAATACCACCTAAATCAAAGGTCAATTGCCATCCTTTCAGTATTCCTGGAATAGATTCTATTGGATGAATTTTACGTCGACCAGATAAAACATTAGGATACATATTGGCCCCATATGCGAAATTGTACACGTACTCGGGATAACTTGAAGGAAACAAGGATTCAGAGGTAGAATTAGACATACTCATTTAGAACAAAGCTAAATGTTGTATCGGAAAGAATAATATTCAGTTGATTCGTATAAACGTTTGACATATAAGGGGAAGATTACTCGTCGCCCCTATGGTATTAGGTATCTAAAACTTTTCATTTTGGATAACTTACATTCGGATATTGTTAGATATATATATCTTTCTTTTGTTCTTATAAAAGGATATATCCGAATGTTTAAGAGCTAGTTTAACTGGTTGTATTTTAACATTCGGTAAGTGTTGGAACCTCCCCGGCATACAGATTGCTCTTTTCGGTTTCAATATGGAAAATGCTATACAACGGGCACAATGACATTCTTATTCACCGCACGTGTTCTAGTTTTAAAAACTTACTATTCTGAGTATAGAGAACGCTTTTCACCGTTCGTTGATATGCTTTTTGTACCGACTCTAGCGAAAACATTAGTTTTTGTGAGGAACGATTTAAGTTTGGTTATCGTTAGCAAGCCACGAGTATACGAACGTAACAAAGGTAAAAGTGCTGTGCCTGTCAACAACTCACGAATGATACACATTACACGTAGGTAATATTGGTATGAAAAAGAAAGAAAAAGAACAAATGAAAGTTCCACCTAGAAATGAGTAAAAGCACATGTAGTTGTTTTTTACCTTAACAAAAAAAACACATCATGGCGCATTCATATATACTTTTCAAGACAGCTTCAAGTGCTGTGCTTTCTTGTTTTAGTGGAATTTTGACGCCATATTGCGTGTCTTAAGAATGCGTAGAATGACAAAGCCTTATGCGGGTATATATTAGTCCTACATACCTGAACTATCATCGAAAACGTCCTTTTGCATAATCCGGGTGGCACTAAAAAGTTTGTGTCTTCATCGAATCCTCAAAGCTTAGGGTCGGCATCATACTCTTTACGCACTTTTACTGCGAACTCTCACCCTTACCACAAAACGATTTCATCCGAGAAACCCACGATGACTTCGTCGAAAGGAGGAAGCAGTACACTAGCGACATATTTCGGGCCGAAACAAACTAATTCGCAAAATTCAAAGCAAAGCTCGGATATTTCAAGGCAATCCGAATAAAGTATGTAGGAAATATGGAACTGTTGCTCTACCCTAAAATACCACCCGGAAAATCGTCTCTAGTTTACCCCATACACTCTATACCTGCTACTGTTTTCGATTTTTTCATAATAGATTCACAGCAAAAAAGTATGTGATTTACACGGGAAGCATACAGCAATATCGAACAAAGTGAGAGAAGGAAAAAACTCAGATTTGCTTAGTCACATAGTTAAACCACCTTTTGTTAATCAGCAACGTAGATCAAAAACGACTTTCTTTCTGACATAATTCTTCATATATGTGAAGAAAGCTCCACTTTGTTCCAAGTGAATAGAGAAACACTTTGAACACTACGTAATTGATATCGTTGTATACTTGATTCAAACTCAAGAAGTTCGAGGAAGAAGGACTTGTGAGAGATATATTGTTGCCGCATTTGAGAGCTACTGGAAGAACTTCTCTGATGTATCTTTCTGCATCCATTGTCCCATCCTCCATAATCACCGGTACTGTCAGGCCTTTACTACACACGCTCAACCACACCATCCTTCATTCTGGACATTGTGTACACCATCTAAATCAAAATATTTTTCATCGATAAAAAGCCAGTTTTTGGTGTCTTCCTTGTTATAATGACTTAACATCCAATTAGCAAATTTAACACTCTTTCTTTTTTGAAGATCAGTCAATTTTGGTTGTTTGATTTCCTTGTATGGGAAACAATCGAGATCTTCGCGCAGTATTCGTTGTACACTTGTTTCTGAAATATCCATTTCAGTAGCTAATTGTCTTGTTGACACTCGTTTCTTTTGAGTTCGTTGAATTGTATTTCAGTGGAGAAACTGTATTATTCACAAGCCAAAAGTTTACTGTTGCTGCTGGATAAGCCAGCGAATTCCTTCACCGTACCCTTGCTGTTCAGTAATGCTACACATGCATAATTTCAGTTTTCGATTTGATCCATCACATAAATATCGTTCGATTCCCAGTGCTTGTACAAGTTCAGTGTAACTACATGCATTCGGACCATCAGTTTTATTTCCCAAGATCAGCATGGGCACTTGACTCATATCATCGTCATCTAACAAATTCAATAATTCATATCGTGCCTCACAGAAACGTTTGCGATCAGTCACATCAACGATGAATATGAATGAACTTGAACTAAAATAATAGTCTTTCCACAGGCGTCGTGCTTGTATATGTCCACCTAGATCAGTAAGACGTAATGTGACTTTACCCACTTGTACTTGATGATGAATGGGTTGTGACGTGGGTGGCGATAGTGTGAGACGGTCTTTTGTCAATCGACCAGCTAATGTTGTCTGAAAAAACAACATTATAAGTTAAATTATTTCAGTCATTCATGAACACGAACAAGAAGAACACAATCCCACAACACGTTTGCCATCACCCGTTCGGAAATCCGTGTCAAAATATGTTAAATGTGGATTATCACAAACACAAATTCGTACAGCTTTGATACTATAAAGCTAGTTTTTTTTCTTGTATATGTTTTCTTCAATTTAAATTTTCTTTAATGGATTTGGTACTCAAAAGTCTTATTTTTTGGTGATCGTTTTGCAATGAATAAATCTGATGATCAAAAAGATTGACACCCTTTCTTAATTCTTGATGATAAGAAATATAATAATTAAACAGCAGTTAGTGTTCGTGGTTCTGATTTATGCAATTCTTTGATTGAAAATCAATCGAGATTGTATGCCACACTAGCTATGTAAAACTGATTAAATGTTTATGGTTGATCTTTAGAAAACAAGATAAGCTTCAGACAAATCTCTAAAGAATGCTTAAGAATGAAAGTTAACAATGGAAGCTTTAACAAAACTAGCATAAGTTAAACATTACAGAACTCGATAAGGTCTCATTTTGTAAAAGAATGTGTGCTCTATACCAGATGACATAGTTAAATAAAGTCCAAACCATAGTCTCGAACCTTACGATTGTCTAAAAAAGCAAATTGTTCGAGAAAACCTTACTGCATCACATGAATAAAAGCGAGTTTAAACGGTTGTGCACGTTTTAAAAACTGATACATTCGCATGCCTTAAAATTTTTGATTATCTCAATGAGTTTTCGAAAGTTTAACACCTGCTGACGAATGCACTCAAATTTCTTAAAATTATTTCCATACTCAAAAAACGTAAGAATTACAGTTTTACCAAATTTTCACGTCTAAAAGCCTACTAACCAGGGAAGGTCCCCAAGTGTGAATCACCGTTTTGAATGGGCGATATCCCAGTTTATAGAGCTCGACGAGCTGATTCTAGTGGCATAAAGCATTTTTCCTAATGTTTCTTGAAGATCCAGTTTTGCAGAAAACCAGCTTTTCAGAAACTTTAAAAAATAACCAAAACATTTTTAAATATGATATAATTGTAGCGCGCGCATTTCTGATTAAAATGAGACATCCCCCAGCTATACACGCCGTTTCTTTGCAAAGTTATAGAATTTACAAGAAAAGCCCTAAATGTTCATTGTCGGCTCAAAGCTACAGAAATAAGAAGAAATTAATTCAGGACTTTTGTAAATTCTATAACTTTGCAAATAAACGTCATGTAGAGCTGAGGAACGTCTCATTTTAATCAGAAATGTGCGCGCTACAATTATATCTTATTTAAAAATATTTTAGTTATTTTTTAAAGTTTCTGAAAAGCTGGTTTTCTGCAAAACTGGATCTTCAAGAAACATTGGGGAAAATGCTTTATGCCACTAGAATCAGCTCGTCGAGCTCTACAAACTGGGATATCTCCCACTCGAAACGGTGATTCACACTTGGGGACCTTCCCTCGTAAGTCAGATTCGAATTCAAATACAAGAACTTATCTTTCATTGAATTAGTTTTAAGGTCTAAAAGTCTACTAAGGTTTCCAGAGCGGTTTAATGCGTATGAATGAGTTAATAATCAATATAAGTGAACACATGAACACTGTTCTAATACAAAAATAGTATCCTTGTTTTGTAAGGAAACAGTTTTAGTTGTTTCTGACAATTCCATTTCGATCTCATTCGAAAGGTTTAATCTAGGACGATTGCATCTGTTCAATCAGACATAGCATGAAAGAGTGGGAACTTCTCTAGAAAATGGTACCTGCTCCTTAAATGTCAGGTGTGGTTTTCAGGAACTTAAAGAAAATTCAATGCATTCAAATGCCTTAACATCTAATGTATTTAAGCTTGTTAAAAACAGAAAACACGTTAAAATCCGTCAAGATCTGTAAATGCATTTAAATTTAATATATTTACAAGAGCTAAGAAGCTTTAGTAGGTGAAAATATGTTAGAAAAATGGATCTCGTATAGATCATTAAAAATCTAACGACACAACAGCATTCTTCGTGTCTGGCGCGCTTTATTTTCTATTTCGGTTTAAAATTGTTGTCCTGTCACGTTAAATTTAGTTTTGTTTTCTTTTCTCTACAATTGTCTCTTATCATTCAATCGTTGACTATGTCGCACGATTAACAACATTGCATGGTATGTCAGCGTGCCAAATTTTTGCAAATAAAGAGAGAAGTGCTTGTTTCGAAAATAAGTTAAGCAAGAAGAACAGAGCAGATTATGGGACAGCAGCCGATCAACTTGTAATACACCTTACAGGCAAAGATGATCTGAACGGAGTTGATCAGTATGGATACGATCTCAGTTCGGAGCCGGATGTTAAATTACACGTTAAAAACTAAAAAAGATTTCAGAACCATTTTCATCGTGTATTTCTGTGCTTGCTCGAGCTCCCGTTAAATCCGAAGATCCGTTCGGACACCTCATGCATATTTTATTTGATGATATGTATCTGGTATGAAAAGATTGACGGTGAAAAATTGAAAGATCGAATAAAAAAATTCGTAAATGTAGCTGGTGCCAGAAAACAACCTACCAAAACAAAGCCTTTATCTTACCACTAAGGGTATTGTATAGGCGTACACCAATCCCAAGCTATTTGGTGACCGGGTTACCAGATTGATGCATGCCTAATATTGTATGATTTAAAAAATATTTAAGGTTTCTTTTGACAAGAGAAATGATGCGTAGTATATATAGACCTTAAGAGTGAACGGAACGAATAGCCAGACGGTTGATTTCTAGTTCGAACGAAATCAACTTTTTTTACAAAAGTATTGGATAAAAGACTTGCCCTACACTCTAATCAGACCGCATGGATAGCATAGATGGAACTTCGCTTCAGACGACTTTGCCCTCACGTTTAAAAAAACTTTCTCTTTCTTTGAAAAATTAGTTTCGCTCTACTACGTAGTTCTATTCCGATTTCATAACTGAGAAAAACTATGCCAAAACTTCAAAAGATCAACTTGTTGAAAAATATTTGTTAAAATCAGAAATAGATCTCTGTTAGGACAAAAATGGATTTATTTTCTTCAAAGGTCAGGTTTTGTATCGTGAATAGCGAAACAAAACGTGTTTGTACTTACAACAATAGGCTAAATTTAAACGTTTCTGAACAAAATGGCACTTCTTCGAGCTATCTGCGACTTCCTTAATCCACGAAACGCCTCACATCGACAAAACCAAAAAATTTTATTTTTACCTTATTCGTTAAAAGACGGTTGTTATCATCTTGTCTGTTGACTCACCTTTTCTTTTCTTATTGTAGTCATTGCACCTATCTGCTTCTCAACTACATATAACTCACATAGATCTTGATATCACAAGCAAACAGTTTCACTGCAGGCAAAACCAAACGAGTGTTAAAACAGCGTAATAAAAGGTATGTGGCTCCAAATATCTGTCAATCATATGATCAGAAGAGGTCCAACGAGATAAAAACTGAAGTATGAAACTATTCTTCACCAATTATTTTATAATTAATGAGTTTTTCGCTTTTGTAGAAAGAAAAATCATTTGATGAATGAGATCTCCGTTTAACTTCCACTTTTCATGGCTATAGCAAAAAGATTTAGTTTATCTCGTAGCAAAAGTTCAAATTACGTGAAGAGATAATTCAATATATGAGTCCTGAATATCATAGTTTCACGTCTTAGCTTCATCCTTACCATATGCGTCTTCTGGCCATATACACAACCTTTAATCCAGTCCACGAAGAGAGGGATGTATCGATTAATAATTTCTACTGTAGGCAAAATGCTCGTCAATGTGATGTTTCTAATTTGTATGTCAACCATAATCAATGGACAGGTAATGGGTTCCAATTGCCTATGCAAATGCTGCCAAGGACAAAACTGCTCTCCAACAGAACAAGGACAGACTGACCTGGGAGTTAATTGCAATGGTCTTACCTGTACAGCTGAATTCTGTGCTACGATGTACCCGAAGTGCATTGCTCGAGGATTAGGATTGACGGTTCCAACATGTGACATAGAAGGTACTCAGGGGAACTGTTCTTGTTCGTGCTGTAGAGGTGATCAATGTTCCGCCACATTGCAAGGTTCATTGATGCTGTCTGATAGATGTAATTTGTGCAATGCTATCTTATGCTCGGATATATATCCGACAAATTGTACATCGGGTGCAGCTGGCACCACGAATGCATACTGCACGGATAATCAGCAAACGTCAACTAAAAGTAGCCGAGCAACAACACAGACTTCATTTGGTGGATTCATTCATACTTTAATTATGACTGCAATGGTTATTCTCGTTGACAATATTTAACACTCTCCAGATGATCCAGATGAGAATTTTTAGATTGGCATATCCACATATGCAGCGATACAAATTCCAAACCTTTTTTAATAAAAATGCGATAGATTCTACTCTGTAGTGCCTGTAAACTAAAAAAGAGAACGCCAGCAATCGTACAAACTCATACAAAGAAAATGGTAACCTAAAATGGAGCTACTTGATTTTTCTAATACGTTCAAGTAACTTTTATTGATGGATGATTTCAGTCTAGTAATACTGCCCCAAGTGACCGTTATATAAGAAAAAAATATCAGGTTTGAGTTTAAATAAAGTTTAGTGATCAATAATTTCAACGGTACATGCTATGGGTAGTCCGCGGTCACTGCAGTAGGGTACTGGAGAAATCCTGGGCATCCTACGATGATCGTCCGCAAGCCACACGTCTTACTACTGGGCTATGAGAGTATATCGTGCATCATCATCCTCATATCATATCGCATATTCTTCGATATCTTGTTTGGATTTAATCGATCGTTTGTTATACCGTATTTTTAGGCAAACTTTACTCTCTAAGTCTGATGCAGAATAAGTCTTCTTCTGCTCGTAAATAATTTAATTTGTATCAACTTTAAGTGCTGCTCTTATAAGTGGTCTTCCAGAAATCCGGTATCTGGAAAAAACACTTAGAAAACCTTTTCAAGACCTAGAAATCATCCCACTGCAAGAAGCGCCATCAAAAAACATAAAAGCAATTTCTAAGACGCGTTCAAGTGCTTATAAACTGAATTTCAAATTTTCAGGTTCAAAATGTTGTTGAGTTCCCAAAATCCGAGAAATTTATAGAGTATGCCATAGCATGCGACCAAAACCAAATGAAGCAGGCAGCATTCCATGCAATGTTTTACGCTGATTCTGAATATGTTATTATTTTTGAGAAAAAACTGCTTGGAACAGAAAACAATGCCAAACACCCTTGGAAAACCAGGTTTTCTCCAAAACCTATAACTCCAGTCAGATGCATTTCGGCAACTTTTTGCTAAGTATATGAGTGTACCACATACAGGAGAAATTTTCCTGAAAGTTTCGTTTAATTTGGAGTTGGGCAGTCTTGAGAACCCTTACTTTACTGAGAGTTGGTTACACATTTTCAATGCAGAATTCTAGGCTCATTTCTAATATGATATTTTTCATGAGTCTACTTCCTCTTTCGGCTTGTGGAATAGCCACATATAACCGGAGTGACAGAAGAAAGGGGCCAAAACTTTTCCATAGTTTTCCAGTACTTCCGAACGACTTAACACTCTGGGTCTTATCGCTTTACACAGAGAATTCGACGCTCTCCAAATCTATACATTTTGGTTTTTTTCAGCAGTTTTTTTAAAATATTTTCACATAGTTGCTACCTATACTGAATTTTGCAACGGCGATGGATTATTTTGTGAAAGTAGCTCTCGCTTTTTACTCCTTTCTGCAGATGCCTTTGAGAGGAAACGTGAAATATTTCAGATGGATCGTCAAAAACTATTATTTACTACACAATGCGAAATTTTGAGGCGCCGCCGCCGATGGTAACGAAAGCCTCCATGGGTCCAGCCGGCAGCCAGCCGTTCGTTTTTTTCCTCTTTTGTTTCTATGGGAAGGAGTACTACTATACATTTTAATGAACAATGCACTCAGTTCTAAGTTGAATAACTCCGGATAGGAAGCAGCTAGATACCTGCGGTTTCCAACATTCGAAAGAGAATAATATTTTTTATATAGAAATATCAGAAGCTGATTGGTCGACAATTGATCAATCAGGTGAGTTTTCGCTTGACATGTTGGACACTGCCTAGTGAACAGATTCCCCGTTGGATTTGAAATTCTAATACAACCATTCGATAGAGAAAATTGCTCTCTATCGATCTACACAAGGCCCAGCTCTTTAGCCTGTTTTGTTGCCTGATGTGGCACTATAAGCATTTTCCTGAGAGCCCAGATTTCGGTCAGCTGACCTTGGATCCCTCCAGAAAACCTCCAAATATAGGTAATCAACCATGCTGAGTCGAGTGGTGATGTTTATTTTCAGTTTTCGAAGCGAATTAATTCGCCAGATTAAACTTTTTTGAAATATCGACTCAATACGCCGCATAGCGTCCGACTATAAAAAGTTCAGAAATATTCAACTTAATGATTTCAGCTGCTCGAAACTGAAATAATCAATCGTCGACCAATCAGCTTCTGATATTTCTATATAAAAAATATTATTCTCTTTCGAATGTTGGAAACCGCAGGTATCTAGCTGCTTCCTATCCGGAGTTATTCAACTTAGAACCGAGTGCATTGTTCATTGAAATGGATAGTACTATCCATCCCAAAATACAAGACCCGTGGGCAGTTTTACAAAAGTTATCGGAAGAAATTTCTAAATGCTTATTTTCAATAAGAATAGAAAAGAAATTTAACTTATTATAGTCTTCTAACCCCTAAAACACCACTGGTCTTCTATTATGTCCGTGAAAAAAATCGGAAAATGATTTTTTAATCAAAAAAATTATCTGAACAGATTAGATAAACTCTCCACAATATGGTGGTTAAATGGGTCAAAGTCGCAAAAAGTTATCGCGTCAGTATTCCGTGCATGTTTTTCGTCAGCATGGTACGCATTTTGCAAAGGTGGATTATCAGAGTTTTCCTAGTCTTTAAAAGATTTCTAACGATTCCAGCATTCTGTATCACCACTATATGGAAAATTTTATAGAAAATGAGTATTAAAGAAAAAAAAGCAATGTTATAGGTTAGAAAAAAAGCGTAATGTTAAAACTGGTGTAAACTAAAGTCAAGAAAGAATAGTAAGAGAATAACTAAACATGTAGGATCACAGTATGTTTAATCGTTCTTTTCGATAGGTCTCGAGTGAACTAAAACTGAGATCAACCACTGCTCGGACATGATGTTGGCTGATAAAGATATTTTTGAACACGATTAAATTCAACATCTGCGACATACAAATTGAAATCTGAATCAAATTTGATTCTCCATGGAAAGGATAATGCGTTGGAGACAATTGTTTGACCCTGTTTTGCACTTGGTAACCATTTTACTATTTGATTTTGAGAAGATATGTATATAATAGCATTTGTATCAACAATTATAGAGAAGGGACAACTGCGTTGTGCAACTGCTGTTCCTGACTTAGCACCGGGTAACCACTTTTATATTCGATTATTGACATAATCACAAATATATAAGGCACCTTTTTCAATGATCTCATCAACAAAAATGCCTACTGGATTTTAAGGAGAAGAATTTGAATTACCTTGACCATTTCCACCGGCAACTAGAATACCGTGTGTAGCACTGACTAAGCATTTCGTTACTCAATTCTTCTTCTTATTCTCTGATACATAGACAGTACCGTTTGATCAACGTAAAGACCATTTGAAGTAAACAATTGATTCAATCCCAATCCAACTACTCCATTGCCGGCTATATAAATAAACTGAATGTGCCCAATAAGAAGGGATGTTTTCCATTGGCTTGTTTCAGATATTTTTTGCAGCGAATTTCTAACATGTTCTATATTTTTACATACTTTGTCTAAGCGGGGAAAAGTCTCCTGAATCTAATGTTAAAAGAATTACCTAATTTGGTTTTCAACAAGCAGCTGGTGCCATTTCGATTGAAGGAGAAAAATTAAGTAAGCAAGACAAAGCCAAAATGTTTGCTGATAAACTGATGGCAGATAAACTTGAATCAGAAAATAGTATCCAATTATTTTGTACGAAACTGAGAACTACTCGGAAACTATTCAACCACCTTTTTGGAATCTTTGATCTCTCCATCCTTCTGCTATTTCTCCTCGAGTGAAACTTCTC